AAAAAAAAAAAAAAAAAAAAAAAAAAAATCATGAACGAACTAAGAGAGGAGTGTTGGGATTTTGGAAAGTACCGAGAGTCGAAAGGTTAGGTTTGTTCTTTGGACAAGTTATTTTGCTTCCCTTCTGGATATGGTGCCCTTTCTGTACCCGCTGCCTGCTCCAGTGTCCAGGCCTGAGGGTCCTCATCTAAAGAGAGCAGCCACTGCGGTACAATCTGCAAAGGTTCTTCCAGCACTTATCTCCCATGGCCCCATGAATCTCGGTGTTGTGAGTAGTCGAGAAGGGGAGAATAAATGCGGCTTGAGCTGTAGCCTGACCTAAAGCTGTGTGCCAAAGGGGAAGTGGACCTGAAGAGGCAGAAAGGAAGGTGTGGCAGGGTGAAGACTCAGTGCAAGACAGGAGAAAGAGGAGACTTACATGACTTACATTTAATAAGCTGTACAATGTGTCAGGCCCATGCCAGCTGCTGGGCTGGCATCATCTCTTTAAACACACAATCCTGTCTTTTTCCAACTTCATAGCAGAAGAAACTGAGATTTAGAGTTTCGGGACCTGCTCGATGTCATGCAATTAATAAGCAACAGAACCAGAAACTGAACCAAACATTACCTCTATAAAAGTCTCTGGGCTGTGTGGTGTGGTGTGGTGTGGTGTCCCAGCCACTCGGGACAGGGAGTCAAGAGGATCAGAAGCTCTAGGCCAGTGTGGGACACTTAGGAGACCTATCTCAAAATAAAATATAGAGAGGTCTGGATGTATAACTTGTTGGTAAAGCATTTACTTAACTTGTACTAGGTTCAATTCTGAGTACCACAAAAGAAAAAAATCCTCCAGGCCACCCCCACCTAGGGCTTATGTTCCCTATTCTAAACTCTGACCTTGAGCTGCATCCCTACATTTGGGTTTCAGGAAGTAGCAAGGCTATGTGGCCTGTGCCGGGGTGTGCTGGGCTCCATACGGCAGGCCATTGAAGAGCTGGAAAGAGCAGCAGAGTCAGAGGGAGAGGTATGAAGTGAGACGGGGCCGTGGGATGGCATAGGGATGGGACGAGGTGAGCACTGCCCACTGGAACCTCAGCTGTCGATTACTCCTCATCTGTAGGAGGTGATGGGAATGCCTGAGCCCCTGAAGAAGGTGCTGGCTGATCACCGACTGACAGCACTGCAGAGGGATGGGGGCGCCATCCTCATGAGGCTGCGCTCCACCCACAGCAGCAAGTACGAGTGGTTGACAGCGGGGGACTGCCCGTGAACCTTAGCCACCAGAAAATTCTTACTGCTCGTGTATCTGAACAAGCTATCACGCTTTGGCATTTACTGTGTCATAGCCTTCACAACATCCCTGAGTGCTAGCTACGATTGCAAAGAGGATTTGGAGGATCAGAGGTGTTCAAAGTTTTGGCCAAGCTCATTCAGTAGACGAAAGAGTTAGGATTCAAATTCAGGCAGTCTGTCTGGCCCATACTCTGATCCACAGCGCTGTGTCACCTCTCACAGTCACATCCCTGGAGGTGTAAGAACAAACTGGAGGGTTAGGCAGAAGTTCATTCTGCCCCTTCCTCCTTCCCCAGGCTGGAGGGCTCGGACCCAGCTACCCTCTTTCAGGAGGTGGATGAGGCCATTCACCAGCTTGTGCGCCTCTCCAACCTGCAAGTGCAACGGCAGGAGCAGCGGCAATGCCTGCACCGACTCCAGCAGGTGAGCCGGGGTCCAGCACCCCGCCGGCTCAGCCCGGGACCCTGGCCTCTGGTCCACCTTTGGATACTTAGCATTGGTGGTGGTCCTGCCTGGCTGAGCTGAACACCCCTCCCTCTCTCCTCACCTCGCCTGGAGGATGGACATGGGAAGTGGGAGATTTAATGAGAGGGTGGGAGAAACTCAGTACCAGCAAGGACCAGAAGCCAGATCTTCCCTCTGCTGATGTTTGATCAGGGCTTTTTATGGGCAGTCAGAAATGCTTGGGGTCCCCGGCAGATTCTGGAAAGAGCTCTGGAATGCCTACCTTCACATTTAAAAAAAAAACAAACAGTAATGAATCTCTGTTGACACCAGCTCTTTAGCTACACTGCCAGGCAGGTTGCCTCACCTCCTTCTGTGGTGTCATCCCTCAAACCTAAGGATGGGATGGTCCCACCTCTGTCCACTTTGAAAGAAGGTACTGCAAGCCCCTAAGAAGAACCATTGCCTTTGTAAGGAAAATTCAGAAGTAAGATTGCTGGGCATGATGGTGCACACTTGAGAGGCTGAGGCAGGAGGATTGCCTGAGTTCCAGTCTGGGATACATAGTGAGACCCTGTTTCAAAAAAAAAGGACTCATCCTGCCTCTTCTCACTAGTTTTATATTTCACCCCCAGGCCTAGGCCTGGACCTCTAACCCTCCTCCCTCAGTACTTACTGCTGACACAGCTTCATCTAGCACTTTATTAAAGTCTTCTAACCCGGGTTTTCACTTGATCCTGGTGGAGACTTGTGATCATTCACAACTATCAGTCACATGTGACAGGTGAGGTGAAATGCATCACCAATGATCGTGGATCAGGGTAGTGCAGCTGACACGGGCCTCAGCCTTTCCTTCACAGCCTGCTTTTCCACCTGCCTGCCTCAGGTGCTGCAATGGCTCTCAGGCCCAGGAGAGGAGCAGCTGGCAAGTTTTGCTATGCCTGGGGACTCCCTGCCTGCTCTGCAGGAGACAGAGCTGAGATTCCGGGCTTTCAGCACTGAGGTTCAGGTAAGAAGGGAGAGGAGAGAGACGCCAAAGAGGCAAGGGAGACTAACCGGGAGTGTGGCCCAGGTCTGAGCACAGCCTTCCTTCCCCAGGAGCGCCTGGCCCAGGCCCGGGAGGCCTTGGCCCTGCAGGAGGACCCTGTCTCCCAGAAGGTTTTGGATACCTTCGAGCAGCGGCTGGAGCAGGTGGAGAGTGGCCTCCACCGGGCCCTGCGGCTTCAGCGCTTCTTCCAGCAGGTGTGTACAGAGCCACTCCTGTGCCCACCAGCTCTTTGCTGAGGCCTGCAGAGGGTGGTCAGGTACAAGCATGGACTCAGGAGCCCACTCCTTGGCTTTGACACTCAGCCACCTCCATGCTGAATGACCAGGGGCCAGGTGCTAAACCTGACTATGCTCCGTAGGCATCTGCCTCACGGAACACCCATGAGGATCACATGAGACAATATAGAAACTCGTTCAGCACTGAGCCTTGGAAACGCTAAGTATTAGCTGTTCTTTAGGCTCGTCGTCTCTGTAGCATTTCCAAGTGACACGGTCAGACAGTCACGCTGGGACAGGGAGAGGACAGGGAGGGTGACAGGCACTGGGAAACCGATCAGCAAGAGGACCAGAGCTGTCGTGTGCTTCTGGGAGCAGCATGGGTGCTCACCCTTTCTCTCCCATCTCCAACCCTTTGGCTTTTATAGGCACATGAGTGGGTAGATGAGGGCTCTGCTCGGCTGGCAGGAGCCGGGCCAGGTCGTGAGGCCCTGTTGGCCGCACTCGCCCTGCGGCGGGCCCCAGAGCCCAGTGCCGGCACATTCCAGGAGATGAGGGCCCTGGCCCTGGACCTGGGCAGCCCGGCAGCCCTGCGAGAGTGGGGCCGCTGCCGCGCCCGCTGCCAAGAGCTGGAGAGGAGGATTCAGCAGCAGATGGGAGAGGAAGCCAGTCCACGGGGCCATCGGCGACGGCGAGCAGACAGCGCCGGCAGTGCAGGGGCCCAGCGGGGCTCTCAGAGCCCCTCACCCAGCCTCAGTTCCCTACTGCTCCCTAGCAGCCCTGGACCAAGGGCTGCTCTGTCCCATTGCTCCCTGGCTCCCTGTGGGGAGGACTATGAGGAGGAGGCCCCTGAGCCGGCTCCAGAGGCAGATGGCAAACCCCCAAGGGCTGTGCTAATCCGAGGCCTGGAGGTCACCAGCACGGAGGTGGTAGACAGGACGTGCTCGCCGCGGGAACATGTGCTGCTGGGCCGGGCTGGAGGGCCGGATGGTCCCTGGGGAGTGAGCACCCCCCGGATGGAGCGCAAGCGGAGTATCAGGTGAGAGCCCAAGAGACAGACCCACCTGACCAGACCAGCAGGAACAAGCACGGCATCGCTGAGCTCTGGGGCTCCTTTCTGAGCCCAGGTGTCACTCTTCTGCCTCTCTGGTTGTACCCACAGTGCCCAGCAGCGTCTGGTGTCTGAACTGATTGCCTGTGAACAGGAGTATGTGAGCAGCCTGACTGAGCCAGTGCCCGCCCCTGGGCCTGAGCTGACGCCTGAACTTCGGGGCACCTGGGCTGCTGTCCTGAGCACCCGGGAAAGACTTCGAAGCTTCCACCGGACACACTTTCTGCGGGAGCTACAGGGCTGTGCCACCCACCCTCTGCGCATCGGGGCCTGCTTCCTTCGCCACGTGAGTGACTACTTTGTAGAGTCTGCAGTATCTTCCTGGTCCTCTCCTTCTCATGTTGCAGCCCCATCCCTCGGCCCCGCCTCAGTGTTCATTGCCCTTGCCCTTGAGTGGTCCAGGACTCTGGGGCATGGCCCTGCTTTCGGGGCCCATCTGGTTCTACTCTGCCTAAGTCTCTGTGTTCAAGATTGCCTGGACTCCTCAGTTCCTGGCACGCTGAGCACTCCCTGTCCCGCCTGTGGGCTGCCGTGAGGAAGAAGAGGTGGAAGGGAGAGGTTCGCTTGCAGGGGCCCCTGAAGGACACCTCACCTCTTGTTTGCTGGTGCAGGGGGACCAGTTTGGCCTCTACGCTCAGTATGTGAAGCACCGACACAAACTGGAGAGTTGTCTGACCACCCTCAACCCCCCAGCCAAGGTAAACTTTGCTCCAACCCTCAGAAGAAAGAGGGTCAGGAAACCCACCTCAAAAGTCCTCGGAGAATAAAAGCTTTCCTGGGTGTGCCCAGGAAGGTCTGCTACCAATAATCTCTCAGAATTGCTCAGGGTAGGACAAGTGCTGGACTGAAAGTCAGGTGAGGCTGGGTTCTTATCCATGTCCCCAATTTGAGGGATCCTGGACAAAGCTCTTGACTCCTCTGGGCCTCTGTTTCTCCATCTGGTAAAGAGCAATAGTAACTTATAAGGAGCTCTGAGAATCAAAAGACCTCACATCAAAAGATGTGAAAGTGATTTCAAAAGCTTAAAAGCAGAAGAGCATAAAGGGTTATTACCTGGTTCTTCTTCCAACTCTCTTGAAGACAGAGAATGTTCACATCTCCTGAAGGCCCTCTGCCGGCCTTCTGGAGTGGTTTTGCTTTACCTTTGGGAGTATTTGGGCTTTATCTACACCCAAAAGCGTGGACCCAGCCCCCTCACCTCCTGCCCCCAGAGTTTGGCTCCCACAGTCTCCCACCCCTCCCCTCAACCCTGTCTGTTTCCCTACCCTAGGGCTCCATGGAGGGTGGCCCTTATCTGCCCCTGGCCCTACAGCAGCCCCTGGAACAACTGGCTCGGTATGGGCGGCTCCTAGAGGAGCTTCTGAGGGAAGCTGGGCCTGAGCCGAGTTCTGAACGCCAGGCCCTCGGGGCTGCAGTGCAGCTGCTCCGGGAACAAGAGGCCCGAGGCAGAGACCTGCTGGCTGTGGAGGCTGTGCGAGGCTGTGAGGTAAGGCCCTGGTTCCAGTCACTCCTGCACAAACTGTCTAGTCCTGTGGCCTCAGAAGCAGTGTAGCCTGGGAACAAGAGAACCAGACTCAAGGTTTTAGGGCTGCAGGCTCTGGTTTCTAACCTGTTGGGTGGCCATGGTTGAGTTGCCGAACTTAACTGGCCCTCAGTTTGCTCATCTGTACATAAGGAAGCTACACATCCTGACCAACATCCCGTGGTCCTACGTCTGCCTTGCACTCTCCTAGGAGTCCCTTCCCTCTCTGTGCTGTACTTCTGCCTCCATCTCAGTACCCATCGCATACCTGTTCTCTGTCTAGTCTGTTTCCAGCCCTGAAATTCCAGAACAGGCTGGGATCTTACGTCCTCTGGGATAGACCTATCCCAGCTCTCTGCCGGTTCCCTTGCTGGATCCCAAACATGCAAAGGCTTCCCCAGAGAATGCTGAAGCCCTACCATGAAGTGCATCTTCCCATTTTCAGAGTGGAGCTGTGCTGCTGAATGGGCTGTGTTGGGGCTGGTGACCAAGGATGCATTCTAGGCGAGGGTTTTCCTGACTGCCTGAGAACAGCGCATGATTCTCCTTGCCCTACACCTTTATTTTTACTCATTAAATGTACACAGGGGGCTCCTGACCGAGAGCCCTTCCTTTTCCTTTCCTCAGATAGATCTGAAGGAGCAGGGACAGCTCTTGCATCGGGACCCCTTCACTGTCATCTGTGGCCGGAAGAAGTGTCTTCGTCATGTCTTTCTCTTTGAGCACCTCCTCTTGTTCAGCAAGCTCAAGGGCTCTGAGGCGGGCCCTGAGACCTTTGTTTACAAGCAGGCTTTTAAGGTACGTTGCCTAGAATTGAAGTGTGAGTGGTCGTGCTTTCCTTGAGCCAGATTCAGAATCTGCATCACCTGGAATAGTCTTTGGCCTGTATTCAATCAGCAAGTTTGAGTGTCAAGGGGTGACAGAAGTCCCTGCCATCGTGGGCTATCCCACGATGTTTTCCTGAAGTTCATGTGAGAGACTTCTCAGGCACCCCTGGAAGATGGTCTTAGGATCTTTCCCATACAGGACATACATGTCTTTTGAATAAGGAGTTTGAGAAGAAAGGACACTATATATAACTTAACCAAAAGAAGGCTGGGGATGTAGCTCAATGGCGCTGTGCCTGCCTTGCAAGCACAGAGTCCTGAGTTCCAGCCCCACTCGGGGTGGGGGCGGCGGTGGACACAAAAAGAGGGAAGCTTTGCTTTAGAAAACCAGCCAGATAAATGTTCATAGCAGCCTGTGATCCTGGGATGATTTCAAAGGTTCCTAGACTCTGTCTCTCTATACTAGTTGGCCTCGCAGGGGTGAGCATAATATAGAGAAAAAGGCCCAGGTGTGAAATAACAGAAATAGGTTCAAATCCCCACTCTGTAATCTGTGGCGAGACCTTGGGCAAGTTGCTTCATGACACTGGGCTTCATTTCTCCTTCTGTAAACTATGGTTGTTGTGAAGACATGTAGAGCACGTGGCACTAGCTACCAGGACTCATGCATCTCCACCTACTGCCCTCTGTCCTTCCTCAGACTGCTGACATGGGGCTGACCGAAAACATTGGGGACAGCGGGCTCTGCTTTGAACTGTGGTTCCGGCGGCGGCGTGCGCGAGAGGCATACACTTTGCAGGCAACCTCACCGGAGATCAAACTCAAGTGGACAAGTTCCATCGCCCAGCTGCTGTGGAGACAGGCAGCCCACAACAAGGGTACTGGGAAGAACTGGGGCCGAGTGCGGTGGGAGGCTTTCTGAAGAATATGGGGTTGTTGGGGAAACAGTGTAGGATGAAGAAAAAAAGAATGAGTTAGAAGATTTGGGCCAGGGATTTAGCTCGATGGCTCCGCTGCCTACTTTGCAAGCGCAAGGTCCTGAGTTCGATCCCCAGTTACCCTGCTCCAAAAAAGAGAAGATTCAAGATCTGGCTTCAGGGAGATTGCTAAATTTGAGATTAGTCTAAGGTTGCCAGACATGTTGGCACACACCTGTAATCCCAGCACTTGGGAAGCTGAGGTAGGATTGCCACGAGTTCAAAGCCAGGCTGGGCTACATAGCAAGTTCAAGGCCATCCTGAACTACATAGCAAGACCCTGCCTCAACCAAAAAAAAAAAAAAGGAAAGAAAGGAAGGAAGGGAGGGAGAGAAAGAGATAGGTATAGATTAGTCTATGGTGTACCAAAAGGAAAGAGAAAGCTAACAAATTTCAGGGAAGCAAGAGCAAATGGTTGGGTCAGAGAAACTGCTCACTGGATTTGGGAGCAAGAACAGGTGCCACTCACTTGCTGTGTGATCTGAAGTAGTCTGTTCTTTGGTTGGTTTGGTTTTTAGCTTGGGTTTTTTTAAAATCTTTGAGTTTTAAGTCTACCCCTCTGAAAAATTAAACAGTAGTGACTTCTTCATCTTAGTGTAACAGAGAAAATTAAGTAAGGTAGAAGACATGGAAATACTTTGCAAACTGTAACAAGATGTAAAAATGTGAGTTTTTTCATAATGCCCAAGATAAAGGGAGGCTGAACATCGGCTAGGTTGACAAATGGGCAGAATACAACACAAGGCTGAGGAAGTCAGACCACTGTCACCATCCATGTCGTGACAGTCAACAGGAAGAGGAACTAGACAGCAGAGAAAGTAGAGGGAGAAATTAGATGAGAAGAGGAAACTAAGCGTCAGCCCTGACGTGCCAGAGCGGAGCTGAGCAGCAGCGGGAAGCGGTCGCTAACAGGGTGTCTGTTCCCTAGAGCTCCGAGTGCAGCAGATGGTGTCTATGGGCATTGGGAATAAACCCTTCCTGGACATCAAAGCCCTTGGGGAGCGGACACTGAGTGCCCTGCTTACCGGGAGAGGTGAGGGCCAGGATGCTGGGGGAGCCCCCAGAAGTCACACCTTTACTAACAGTGCAAGCAATGGGGAGGCCTGGCGGGAGTCAGGAAGGGTAATGAGTGGGTATCGCTTCCGGCATCCGTCCCGGGCACTAACTGGGGTACCTCTATGAGACTGAGTTGCTCCAGGGAGCCAGGTGGGCTTTCCCACACCAGCACCCCACCCCTATACCCCCACTTTCTGCAGCTGCCCGCACCCGGGCCTCCGTGGCCGTGTCATCCTTTGAGCATGCCGGCCCTTCCCTTCCCGGCCTCTCGCCGGGAGCCTGCTCCCTGCCTGCCCGCGTCGAGGAGGAGGCCTGGGATCTGGACGTCAAGCAAATTTCCCTGGGTGAGGCACCTCTCAAGGGGTGGCTCCCAACAGCCTGGTCATCACGGTGATATTTAGGCTGCCTGCTGCTAAGCAGTTCCTTTTTCTAGCCAAGTAGCCCAGTTGTCATGACAACCATGTACAGCTTCCCCATTGCTAAGAGGCTTTCATCTGGTTGCCAGGGTGATGCTTACAGCAGCTTGTTGCTAAGAAGTACTTCCTCTGTACCTCTCTCTCTAGTGCTTCTTGGGTCTCTATGGAAACCGCCTCAGCTTCCTGTTGTACCCTCCTGGTTCACCATGGCAATCCTTATAGTTTCCTGTCGCTTCTTCCCTGGTTGCTCTAATGATGCTGCTGACAATTTCCTGCCTCTTGGTAGGGGGTTCTCTTGCAACTGGACTGCTATGGTGACTCACAGCTTCCTGTTGCTATGGAGCTTTTTCTTCCCTGAAGGAGCAGCTTGGTTGTTTAAGGTAACCTGGAGTGGTTTTATACCCTGCTCTCACCCAGTCTTCCCCCCAGCCCCAGAAACACTTGATTCTTCTGGAGATGTGTCCCCGGGACCAAGAAACAGCCCCAGCGTGCAACCCCCCCACCCTGGGAGCAGCACTCCCACCCTGGCCAGTGGAGGGATCTTAGGGCTATCCTGGCAGGTAAGTCCCTGCAGTAAGGCTAAGGATGAGTGATCTCTCTGGTCACTTTCTGGGTGGGCTTTTTCATTCAGTCCATTGAGGGGCAAAGGGAACCAGTAGCCTTATGCTCCCAGCTAGGGCTACAGGTTGGATTTTTTGTTCAGTATGCTTTTCTGTCCCCGTCCCAGCAAAAAGGCATCAAGCTCAGAAGTGAGAAAGAATCTTTAACAGAGCAGGCTTAGAGAGAGACGGGGCAATGTGTCTCTAAATTCACTGCAGTTTCTCTCCCCTCAGAGTCACGCTCGAGCCCTGAGTGACCCCACCACGCCTCTGTGAGCTAGGTGAGTCAGCACCCCTTTTCACATTCCACATGCCTCCCTCCGCCACGTGCTCTTTCCTAACCTCCGCGGCTTGAGAGACGGTTTCTTCCCTCTCATTCCATCTCCCTCTTCTCTCCTGGCTTCTAGAGCAGATCCAGAACTTGGCTGCAGCCCCTCCCTCAGCACATTTTGGGCTAGGATGGCAGTGGCACGTAACGGAGGACTAGGAGAGCACTGAATTCCTCCCCTCTGCTCTCTGAACAGGGAGGAGGGCTAAGGACCAGAGCATCCCCTGCTACTGCTATCTCTAGCTCTCCCCTGCTTGGTGCCTTCTCCTGCAGGAGCCAGCATGGCCACCTGCTTGCCTTCATACCCTGGAGGTGGGAAATTACCCTTCTTCCAGTCCTTCCCCATCCGGGGCCACTGCGCACCCCCAGGGCACCGCTGCGCTGACAGCCTGTTTCCTCTTCTCCTCCCCTGACTCTCCCAGGGAAGACAATCTCTGCCAGGTCAACGGGAGCTCCTGGTGACTCCATCTTGTGGTGTCACAAGAAATGGAACTATGCAAACCATAATGCTAGAGGGGGCCAGAACTCCAGGCTTATATATGTAATTACTGTTATTATAATACTATTATTATATTAAATGTACTTACTCACACTTTGCCTCCCAGGAGCCAAAGCCGTCCTCTGGATTAAGGTGTTTTGACTAACTTGAGCACTTCCCCTCAACCAACCATTAAGTAGAACACAGGAAATAAAACCGAGGCTGAAAGGTACTCTCCACCCCTTCCCGGCCCAAAGCTGACTATGCACGAGCCTAGGCAAATGTGCTCCTCCACCGTGGCTCCGTGAGCTCTGAACCCCTCTTCCCATGTGGCACCCACTTCTGGAGGCTGAGCTGGTCACAGATGACCTGGGGTCCAGCAGTACTCCAGTGAGGTGCTCGGGCCACAGTGTGCAAGAACTCCCTAGGCTACTTGTTAATTTTTAGGCTCCACCCAGAGGTACCAAATGTGAAGCCTGGGACTCAAGATTTTGTTTCATACCAAGCCCTGATCAAGTACTTCTCAAGACTAAGTAATTGAAAAGGTGACAGTTTCCTGGATGAAAGAAAGAGACCAAGGAAGGGAGTCAGACGTAGGCAGACAGACACAGAGCCCTGTGCCTCAAGACACCTGTTTATTGGGGACACGACTCTGCAACAGGGATGACAGGAATCGTACCAAAAATAGCAACGTCTACAGGGCCCCTGATGGGGCTTGAAGGGTACAGTGCCCCCCACCCCCACCCCTTGTACAAAAATAAACTCTCAGGCCTATGGACCAGCAAAAACTGGCAGAGTGGTTCCTCAACAGGGACACAACCCTCTCTGCCAGCCCTGGGACCCCGTTCTTTGACCCTCACCTCTGCCACTTCTAAGGCACTGTGACTCCCCTGGGCTGGGTGGGTACCGCCTGCTCACCTTCCTTCGCCCGCTGCCCCTCCACCTCTGGTCGGCCTGGGGCTGGGATGTGGGTCCCACGCTGCCCCCAGCTGGCTGCTCTACCCAACTACCTCTAGCGCTTCCCCGCTGCAGTGGGGAAAGCTCACTAAGCTAATCACCCCTAAAAGGGCTCCCTACCGCTCCTGAGCCCCTAGTCCTGCCTCTCCCGATCTTAGCCCAGGGCCCTCCTCGCCTTCCAGAGGAGGACTGGGAGGGGTCTCTCCGGATGGTGCTCGGGAATAGGGAGGAGATGCATCAGCCTGGGGCTGCCGGCGACCCCGAGCCCGGCGGCTGTGGTGCACTTGCAGGTGCAAAGCCATGAGCTCTGGGGCTCCAGTGGCAAAGGGGCAGAAGAGGCAGCGGTGGAGGGCACCCCCTGGCCCAGCCTCACCTCCTGGCCCCGCCCGTAGGGACAGGTCCAGGGGTTCGGCCTCACCACCTCGCCCATTGCGCAGGGTCCTCCCAGGGCTAGCAGGCTTCCGACGGGAGCCTGGGCCGGTACTGCTAGTGGGCCGGGGGTTTGCAGTGCCCTCCACCCAGGTAGCAGGCTGCTGAGCTGGCTTAGCTCTGGACAGCGAGGCTGAACCCTGCTGGGAAGGGGGTGGTGGCTCGGGGGGTGGTCCGGGGCCTGCACCGCTCCTCTGCTCACGGTGGTGACGCTGCAGGTGATACTTAAGTGAGCCGGACTGGGTGCCCGCGTAGTCACAATGCGGACACTTGTAGGGGCGCTCACCTGGGGAGGAGTGAAATGACATCGGGGAGTCACCACCGCTGCACACCCCTACTCACATCTGGCTCACTTTACAGACTTCATCCTCGGATCAGGAACAAAACTCTGCCTCTCCCAAGGGCTTTGACTTCATAAACTAACATTTCCTAGCTGATCTCACCTGGCCAATGTGAAGGCTGCCAAACCTCCCTCCAGCCCCTCCCCATGCAGAAGGCCACCTCCCTCACCTGTGTGCACTCGCAGGTGTACTTTGAGGTGATGTGCTGAGCGGAAAGATTTTCCACAGAAGGGACAATCCTTACCAGTGGCACCCCGGCCCCCTTCAGGCCGGGTCCCTCCAACCAACAGGCCATTTTCCTCTGTAATAGACAGTGCGAGAGAAAGTTACAGAGGGTCCCTCTGTCCCATCCAAGCCGTATGTCCCCACAGCCTCACAAGCCTGTCTGCAGGGACCTGAGGAGCTAGATTTCTTCTGAGTTAAGAGCTAGTGCCCCCAGAAGGTGGCAAAGCCTCCAGGGGCAGCAGGGGACTGGGGGTTCTTTCTAAAAGCCATAGGAGGTAGCATAGAGACAGGGAGAATGTGACTCAGGAAACCCACGGAAGGAGAGGCCTTACATACCCTGTGTGGCCGTAGATCTTGCCGGGGTCCCGCCGGCAGGTGCAGAGTGCCCTGGGCCCTCACTGGGGCGCGGGTGCAGGGAAGCCAGAGGGCCCAGTGATCTGCCCCGGGTCCAGCTCTCCTCCTCAGCCTCCACCGCGGCCGCCTCTTCTTCCTCTTCTGGCTCCTCTGCGCGGTGCCGGCGAGCTCGGGCAGGGAGTGTGGACGGCAGCGGGCGAAAGCCTCCAAAGCTGCGACCGGCCCCAGGCTCGGCACCCTCACCATTGGGCCGGGCTTCACCAGCTCGGAGGCTCAGGTAGCCCAAGAGGCTCGCAGGCTCTCGGCGCTCAGCTGTAGCGGGCGCTGGGGCCAAGAGAAGGGCAGGGCCCAGCGGCTCATATGCAAGCAGACCCAGGTCAGGAGGCTGGGGGGCCCGGGCAGACCCTGAGCCAGGCCCCGGAGCACGGAGAGGGCCCAGCTTGCTGGCGTGCACCTTCATGTGATTCTTAAGGAACCAGGGCTCCTTGAAGCAGCGGCCACACACGGGACAGGCGTGATCGAAGGAGGCCTTGTGCTTGCGCATGTGGCCCTTGAGAAACCAGGACTGTGTAAAGCTCTGACCGCACACTTGGCAACGGAACTCCGGAGGTGCGGGGGGCTCCTCTGGAACTGCAGGAGCCGGGGCAGGGGTAGCCTCACGTTCCTGGGGCTCCGGTTCTGGCTCAGGAACCGATCTGGGTTCAGGTTGCGGTGGAGGCTGAGGCTGGGGCGCCGCAGAAGTGGCCGCCAGGGGGCGCTCAGAAGCCCCATGTACGGTTAGGCTGTGGTGCAGCAGCTCCTCTTCCTGGCTGGAGCCGAAACTGCACAAGCTGCACTTCCAGGGCCTGTGCAGGATGTGCAGGTGGCGTTCACGTTCCGCCGAGGTGCGAAACTTGCCTTTGCAGTAGGGGCAACGGAAGGCAGAAGACGAGGAAGGAACCTGAGGCCGTGAGAGGCCCTCGGCGGCTGGGGTGGCCTGCATGCCGCCCGAGGTTCGCGCTCGCCCCAGTCGGGCCTCGCGCAGTAGGGCTCGCTCCTCCAACTCCAGCAAGA